TGTGACCAAGTTCGACCAGCAGTGGGGATCGGTTCAAACCACCACTGACACCAATGCTTTGTCAAGTTCTCCGGCTGCCACTCCTAGTCCTGGTGTGAAGACAGAGGCCCAGGTCAAGAATGAAGTGAAGCTGGAAGCCGATGGCTTCTCATGGTCCAGCCACTTTTCTGGTGAGCCTGAGAGTGAGGATTCTCTCAAAACAAAATTTGGGAGCGACCTGACAGAGATCCCGGGTGGCCAGAACTACAAGTTCTTCATGGCACCAGGCCCCAACCTATGTGGCAGCTACTGAGCCTCTGAAGATCGATCCCAGTGAGGGTCCGTTCTTGACGCACGGGGCAGGGGCCTGGATCGTAGGTGACAAGGCAAAGAAGACCTTGGAGACTATGCCTGATCGTGGGCTAGTTTGTGCGCTGAAAACCGATGAGGCCTTGGTCGTGCTTGAGGACAGGGATTGTCGTGGGGTTTCCACCAAGTTGATGTGTGATGTGTGTGTTTCTCTCTTTACTTTTTGACAGGTTTTAAGTTGGTCTGGATGCAGGAGAACAGTGTGGACTCATCGGTGATCAGTTTGCGCTCAGCAATCCAGAAGATAGAAGCTTCTGGAAACGTGGACTTTTCTTTGGGCGGGCACGTTTGTGCCCGTCCGGCTGATGTGCAGCAGGGCCGTGCTGACGATCACTTCGAGATTTCGCCAGACAGCTCCACCATGCTGCTGTGGAGGCCCAACAACGTGCCCGCGAAAAACATCAAGAATACGAACCTTGCGTCTCAGTTCGCCTTCCCAGCTCTGATGAGCAGCCCATTGGCTTTGGCGCCTGATATGCATAGTTTAGAACTGAAAGTGTATTTTTCTGGGACGTGTATTGGGTGAGGGAGGTGTTCAACAAAGTTTCTATTGTTCTGGCTGGCTTCTTGCAAGGTGTGGCGTTTCCGCTTTTACCCGATGGAGAAATGCCTAGCTGCGGCGAAACCGCTCTGGTTTTTGAAGGGAAGCCTGGAGATGAAGAAGGGTAATATCCAAAGGATCATTTGAGCGCCGGTGTAGTTCATTGGCCTGAGCCAAGGCCCTTTGTGCTGAGTGCGCAAATGCAAGGTTTGTCATCACTCTGTTGGAGTGAGCATGGGGTAGAGTTTGTGCACGTGTGCAGAGGAGCCTGGAATCTTGAAGGGGTTCCGAAAGCATACCAGCCAGTTCGTTCGCGTCAGCAAAACTCTCCGCAGTTTGATCCTAGAGCGTTGAGTACTGGTTCTTGCGCCAAGACTTTGAGTTTGGCTATACACTGTTCTGTGTTTCCTTAGCGCTTTTTGGTTCTGGACATTTTGCAGAAAGGTCTTTCTTCCTAGCTTGCAGGATGCCAAGCTTTGGCACTCAGGTAGTTGTTGATGATGAGTTGTTGGACTATGAACTTAGTCCCCGTTTCGCAGCATCGTTGACCGTGCAGAAGGACCAGCAGGCCACTAGTGCATCCCGCTACATCTATGATCCTCCCCGTGCTCCTTCCAAAAGCTTGTGCATTTCAAGCTGGAAACCTGCAGTTGCCAAGCCTGTTGAACCTGCTCCTGAAGAACCCTGGTTCCAGCAACCCAGCATCATTTCAGGGTCAAAAGGGCGTGTGCTGTGTAGTTTAGACCTTAAATCAATGTGTTTTCATGACAAAGCTGAGGAATGAAGATTCACAGGTGGACGCTGCTGAAGATTCGCAGGGTGATGGGTTGAGTGCGGCCTTGGCACAGATCAAGGGTGAAGAGTGGCCCAAGCGAGAACTTTTTGGTGACCGGCCATCACCTGAGTCTCCTGCTGCTTTTGTGGCCGATGCCTACACTGTCGCAGCATTCCAGGAGGCAAAGCCATCGATGCCACTTCAGGAAGAACCATGGGTGCCATTTCAGGAAGAACCACCGGCGCCAGTTCAGGAAGAACCACCGGCGCCAGTTCAGGAAGAACCACCGGCGCCAGCCCAGGAAGAACCACCGGCGCCACTTCAGGAACCATTGGCGCCGCTTGCAGCCCAACCTGATGTACCAGGTCAGGAACTACCAAACGTCGACGACAAGTCGGATTTGGCGCAGGAGGTTGGGCAGAAGAGGGCGGCAGCTGAAAATCCTGCAGGATCTTCGGCTTTGAAAAGAATGAAGTCCCAGGCAGAAATCGATGTGCATCGATTGAACAGTGCAGCATGGCACCAGAAATGGGTCAAGAAGGGAGTGCCGAGAATCCCGGCTGAGAATGCACATGCTGCTGAGGCCGTTGTTGCCCCAGTTCCTTCTCCTGCCCGTGTGGAGTCTGGCGGGTTGAACCGCGCCCGCCATGAGTTCATCAAGAAGTGGATCGAGAATTGTGGGATGGTCAAGTCAGAGGAGCGCCGGTTGGCAGCGAATCATGCCTGGATGAACTCTGACAAGCGTGCTGAGATGATGGCTGCCCTGAGTGGTGTCCAGAAGTGAGGGGTTTTTGTGCCACTGTGTTTTCTCCTGAGTATGTCATGTTTTCCCAGGGTTTATATTTTGTGGTTTCCAGTGTTTGTTTCAAGATCGCAGTGGTCCATGGGGATTTATGAAGATCCAATCGGGATCTGTCAATTGCTCTCTAGACAGGATGGGAACCGGCTTTCAAGAGATGTGCAAAAGTTTCAGGGATGCATAGTGCCAACCAGAGCTTGATCACGTGTGGATGAATTGTATTACGATCCCTTGTGTAGTCTTGTGCGTGTGTATGTGATATTTTACGTTCACAGTAGTGAGAAAAATGGCTTGAGGCCCAGCAAAGCCTTTCCTGCACTGTGGGGCTCTCAAATCACAGATGTTCATCTCACACACATTTTCACTTTGGTTCGGAAATCGGAAACAATCACATTGGATTTTATCAACCGAGAACGGGTCCAAATTTTGCCAGTGTTTCAAAAACAGTTCCTTTAGCAAGAGGCAAGAGTATCTACCTAGAACATTTTGTCAAGATAAGACTGTACCAGCTCAATTTTCTTTCTGCATCTTTCTGCTGATGCCCAGGTTATGGATCACCAGCGGTTTCTCCGCATCTCCCGGCGTGGTGGGGTAGGAACCATCAAAGGCCAACTTTTTCAAAGACACCAAACGACACAGACACAACAAGCCGACTCAGAAACAAACACAAACGGCAAACAAACCAGTCCGCGCAAACCATGTGTCACTTGACATGTAGTTTGAGTACTTGGGGTACTGGCTGAGTAATGCAGAAAACAACAAACTTTTTGGTACCCTATGTGTTCACATGCCTACTTGTGCTTAGCATGCCCACTGGCACTCTTTGTGCTTAGCATGTCTAGTGGCACTCTTTGTGCTTAGCATGCTGCCTTGCACTCTTTGCGCTTAGAATCCTGCCTGACACTCTTTGTGTTTAGCATGCTGCCTTGCACTCGTTGTGCGTGAATGCACCTGGCACTCTCAGTATTGCTACTCTTTGGCAGCGGAGCTTCTTTGGATCCAAATGTCATGAATTTAGACCCAATTGCCGTGAAAGTAACTTGAGTGCGATTTGTCCGGTCCGCGCGCAACCCTCTGCGGAGATCGTGCGTGTCGAGTGCGCGAAATGCAGGCGAGAGTGCGATTCGCCGGGTGCCCGCGCAACCCTCTGCGGAGATCGTGCGTGTCGAGTGCGCGAAATGCAGGCGAGAGTGCGGTTCGCCGGGTGCCCGCGCAACCCTCTGCGGAGATCGTGCGTGTCGAGTGCGCGAAATGCAGGCGAGAGTGCGGTTCGCCGGGTGCCCGCGCAACCCTCTGCGGAGATCGTGCGTGTCGAGTGCGCGAAATGCAGGCGAGAGTGCGATTTGTCCGGTCCGCGCGCAACCCTCTGCGGAGAACTGGTGACTTTGTAGTACAACTTTAGTACGCGGAGTATCTGGGGAGCTGGAAGATGAGAACTGGCGACTTTGTAGTACAACTTTAGTACGCGGAGTATCTGGGAAGCTGGAAGATGAGAACTGGCGACTTTGTAGTACAACTTTAGTACGCGGAGCAATCTGTGGAGCTGGAAGCTGAGAACTGGCGACTTTGTAGTACAACTTTAGTACGCGGAGTATCTGCGGAGCTGGAAAATGAGAACTGGCGACTTTGTAGTACAACTTTAGTACGCGGAGTATCTGGGGAGCTGGAAGATGAGAACTGGCGACTTTGTAGTACAACTTTAGTACGCGGAGTATCTGGGGAGCTGGAAGATGAGAACTGGCGACTTTGTAGTACAACGGAGTATCTGGGGAGCTGGAAGATGAGAACTGGCGACTTTGTAGTACAACTTTAGTACGCGGAACAATCTGTGGAGCTGGAAGCTGAGAACTGGCGACTTTGCAGTACAACTTTAGTACGCGGATGAGTCATCTCTCGCGGCTGAGTCATCTCTCGCAGCTGCTCTGGCGCCCCTGCAGCTGAGTCATGTCTCCCAACCACCCGGCTCTCTTGAGAGGTTGACACACACAAACAGAAACCCACACACTACCTCAACTCACTCGACTTAACACTTCTCACTACACACTTACCGGATAACTCGCACTCTGATTTCCTACGTGATGAAAAATGCTTTCGGGCCACTCGTCGTCTAGTTTTTTGTTATGTTGTTTTTTGTTTGGTCCGCACATATCCATTTAATGCAAATAATATACAAACAAATCATCATTTTCTGGTAAATGAAAATGAGCTAGATCAAGCTCAAAAAATTATACAGAGTTAACATGAATTAAGTTAGTTACATAACTTCATCAGAAAGTTACTAACTAACTTAACATATGTTAAAAATTAACACTAGTTATACATAGTTAAAACCTAGTTATACTTAGTTAACACATAGTTGTAACTAGTTGCTAAATGAACATAAGTGATCATAATTATGTTAACTAGTTATAACAAAACACGGATCCCAAGTACCGCTCTAGCTGGATGACTGCGAGGACATGCAAATGTTGAATGATTTTGATTGCCTCCGTTGACACTGTGCCACTCGTCGGACACCTCGTGATGGGTCACCGCACTTGGAAAAGGCCAAGAGGTGTGTCGCACCCTCTGGAGGCCTCGGTCTCAAAAAGCTGGAGACCATGCATGGTAGACATGTGTTCATAGTTTTTCTTATTGTATACAAGTTCCTAATATCTTCATCGGAAAGAGTTTGTATGTATTTGCATGAATTTGAACGTGCAACACGACATCTTTGCGCTCCACTTCTGCGAGGAGAGCCAGTGAGAGACATCTTTGCCCTCCTGGCACATCCGCGCTATCTTGATAAATCTCGATAACGTGTCTTGAAGGGCCCTGATAAGGGCTGCAAAGGTAGAGGGTGTAAGATGGTGCAAAAGTGCTCGCTACAAAACAGGCTTGACTACAAGCTCTTGTAACCCACAGGGCTGCAACACACGCTTCGCTTCACCCATGCCTCTTTTCTCACCGCGCTAATGAAGGAGTTCTGGCTGGTCTTCCTTTCAGAGAGCACTTGGGGCTGAGAGGTGGGTTTAGGCCGTTGACAAGCCACAAGAACAATGTGTTTCTTCCAATGTGTTCACTGCACCGAGATCGGCGTGAACATGTTTTCCCAGATAGCGAGAGGAGGTGCATCTGTGCGCTTTGGAGCGTGGGTGCTCGTGCCGGCTGCCCTTGCCCTTATTGCAGGTGTTTCGGCTGACCAGACGAGAGCTTACAGACGCTTGGCTGGAGCATAGGCGGGATCTAGCCTATGAGCACTATCGCGCCCACGAAAATGGTATATGGCAGAAAATGGTGCTGGGCTGGCAATATGATGATATTGAGCAGTGCATGACAACGTGCGCTGCGTGCTAGTGAGTGCCGTTGCAGGGTGGCGCTGCAAGGTCTATGGCCGTTTGCGCTTCGGAGCTCGGGTGCTGGTTTCGCCCCAGTGCGCACTACCAAGCAACACCATGGCACCAGCGCCCAAGCTCCAAAGCGCACGTCGCAGAAACATTTGGCTGGCACGCGCTGCCATAGACATGGCAGCAGCAACACCCTGCACTAACACTAGCATCCAAGCTCCCAAGCGCACACTGCCATGGACGAATCCAGGGTGCCGCTGTAAGGTAACGGCCTTATGTGGCTGGTGCCAATGCAAGGTGCCGCTGCGGGGTTGCTGCCAGATGTCTATGGCAGTTTGAGCTTTGGAGCTTTCGTGTTGGTGTCGCTGCAGGGTGACGCCGCCAAATGTTCATGACAGTGGACGGTTTGGAGTGTGGGTGCTGGTGTCATGCTGCCTACAAATATCTTTTGCTGTTTGGGGTCTATGCCCGAGGCCCAGCCTCCCTACTTAATTAAGTAGGCTCCTACTTAATTAAGTAAGGCAGTAAGCTTCTAGTAACTGGACGCAGGATAGCTCACGCTTCTTCAAGGAAGCTACCCCTGCCTGAGGGCGGGGAGTTTCCTTGAAGAAGCGCTCGCGCTATTCATTTGGTTGCTAGTAGCGAACATTGCTCCTAGAAGGCCAGGAGCCCCTAGTAGCGTCCTTGCTCCTAGTAGCGATGCCCTTTGCTCCTAGTAGCGATGCCCTTTGCTCCTAGTAGCTTCTTGCTCCTAGAAGCGATGCCCTTGCAATTGGACCGAAACCTCTGGCAATCCAGAAGAGTGAGCTGAGCGCGTAAGAAAAATGTTCCATTCTGACTTAAGAACCACAGTAGCCGAGGAAACCAACGAGTGAATACCACCGAGAGGTCCCCAACGCGAGAACTTAAGGCCCACCTTGTAGGAGATCGGCCCCAGTGCAGCGAATATTCGGAGATCTGAGCACTTCAAAATTCATCCAACAACCTGTGATCGTGCTCATATACGTGTTCTTACTATATAAGGACAAATGCTCAAATTTCAAGATCTTGTAATCTTGTAAAAATGACATGGGTAACCTGGGTCACCTTCAAAAATCAATGAACATCTAGGCCTCTTATGAACTGAAAGCTGCCAATCACCTCATGGCGAAAGGAAAACAACTAGAACTCCAGAGCATCTAAAATTACGGGTCAAATCTTGCTAAATTTTGGACCAGAGTACCTATCGCTGCTATCGGCCTTCTCCTCATCCGCTGCTCTAGATATCGTAATGCGGCCGCGGACCTCGCATTCCAAATGCGGCGAATGGAGTGGAGAGAACGATGGGTCTTTTTCAACCGTGGACGACGAAAGGCCAAGTCTTTGCCGCCGTCTTCATCCTCAAAGGTCAGGCCGCCAGGCTTCGCCTTGGAGCCAGTTCCGCATAAAACTTGCAAAACGCGCATGAAGACTCATGAAGAACTATTCAGTTTCATTCCTTTGTCAAAAAATGTGAAAAAACACTGAAACCCGGCTTAAACATCCTTCAGCCCATCCGTGGCTTAGCGTGATGTTAATATGACTTGAGACGGAGACGTGTAGGTGTTCAATGTCCCCCCGCAAATAACATATTTCGCACCTTTGGCAATGCCGCGTCCCGAAGAAGCAATGAACCAGGAGTCGCGTACCTGCTGCGCCCAATGATTGCTGCCCAACGTGATTAACGCCCTTTATATAGTACAACTACACTAGATCAGTGCCTCATGCACAAGTCTCAAGTGCGCAACCAAGAAACCAGCAAACACGTCCTTGAAAGAGGGCAAGACGTCTTTGCATATCCCATGTCGTGTCCCTTCATTCACAAACAGCCGGACAGCATCAAAAAGAAAAGTCTGCGCGCACTGTGTTCGCATCATAGTTGCGAAGCCGGTGCGGAGAATGCTGTACAACATGGTACAACCTGAGGTTTGCTGTAGCCCCTTGTGGTAACAATGTGCCCATGTGCGTTCTGAGATTCCAGCCCAAGATAACAAATGTATAATATATTTACATATAATATATATATATATGCTTTATGTTGCTATGCCCACCTCTTGACCTCTTCCGCGCACTTTTGCCAGGGTCAAGTGCCATCTGACGAAAAAGGCGAATGCCCTCTCCCAATCAAGTCCTCCTAGCCCCCACCTCCACGCGTCCCAGCTCGGCAGCAAACCTCTGGCTTGCTGCGCGAACTCTTTTGGGATACTGCAGGGGGTAGGACCAAAGCTGTGTATTCCTGGAGGGCTTGATCAAGGTAGATTCGGGCAGTGGAAACATGTTTCCAGCTTTGGTCAAAAGCTGGTCAAATTTCATGCCCTGAGCATAAGCCGAAGTTGCCCCTCCCCGCCTGAGGCTGTACGGGAGGTAATTGAAACTTTCAAGGCCAAGATGGATTACCACCGCTTTCCACAAGGCTCTGAAAGCTGCTGGGGAGAAATCAACTAACTTCTCATCAGATTTACGGCGCTGACATAAGGCACGGAGGCAGTCAATGCCACTTTGCTCACTAATGAGCACCTTCTCACTCGTCAAGATATTTCGTTTTGCAGTCTTTGTGTCATGCAAAAAGATGATGGCCGACTGGCCTTTGTGCTTTGGCAAGATGACATCTTTCCGAACAAGTTGAAACATCTCTCCTGTTCGAAGAAGCCCACAAAAGGCCACCATTGTGAGCTGAGCCAGCCGCGGCCATTGCCATTTCCATAGGACGCCAGCAAAGGCCAAAACCAGTTCTGGACTTAAAGGGCTTGCCCGTATTGGTTGCTCCAACTTGTTCCAAAGAGACAAGCTGCCACGCCCCCTTCAAAGCCCCTTTGAGTTCTGGTTTTCTGTACTGAACAGCGGCCAGCACGTAGTTTGCCATACTCTTGGGACCACCTTCTTCCCACAGAAACTCTATGTACTGACAGAGGAGTGACTCCAAGTCCTCTCGACGCAGCACCTCTGTCACAGGGCTTCCAACGAACAAAGCGAATTCATTCGGTGACACTGTGTAGCGCTCAGCGATCGCTAGTGAAACTCGTTGCTCTGACAGCCGTCCCACTTTCTTCCTCTCAGCCTTGCGTTCCTCTTTTGTCTCTTTTCTCTTAAAATTTCCTTCCTTGGCATCCTTCTCGAAGCGCCTGTTTGGACCATCCGCTGGATTCAGACAGGATGCAATCCAAGCCCGCAACGGAAACAGATTCAGAGCGAGGCACAAGGCTGAGATTTTCCGCAAAATGCGGTTGATCTTTCTTGAGCTGCTGCGACCTTTTGTCAAAACAGATCTGGGAATCTGAAAGATGGAGGAACCTGCAAGAATGAAACGACGCTGAACGGGCGCGCCACTCCAGGCTCCTCAGGATTGCCCGCAGTTCGAGCAGATTTATGTGCTCATTCCGCTCGTAGGACTGGGCCGTCTTCCAAACCCACCTACGAGGGTCCACTGTGGTTCGGACCGCCGCATCTGGGCGGTAAACCACCTGTAGATCTAACCTGACATCGCTTCCGCGGAATTCCATCCGCCGCAGGTACTGGTGGATCAGCCTGACATTCAGCAACCGCGCCCCTCCATCTTTGCCGAAGCTATGACCAGCCAATCGCAGCCATTCTTCCTTCTTTGGGTGCTTCATCAACTGCAAGATGGCTTCCTCCTCTTCTTTGTCTTTTTAACTCATACTGATGTGGGTCGTGGCATCATCCTTCTCTCCCACATCATCAAAACTTCGCTCACTCATCTCTTCATGCCACCTCTTAACTACTGCCTTTGCTCCCTTTGGATCAGTTCGAGCTTGCTTCTTCCATAGCCAAAGATCCAAAAGGCAAGCCACAACCACCGTATGGAAGCTATTACCGATGGCTGCTTCTCGTGCCACCGTCTGCTTTCCCCCGCTCGGCCTCCGTCTCAGCCTCCTTCCTGAAGAGCGCCATAGTATACCCAGTGGGGTAGCCCATCAATCGCTCCCGTTCTGTCACCGAGGCAACTCGTTTGACGTCATCACCCTTGGCGTCATGGAACAAGAACTCAGGCCGATAGGTGTATGGTGGATACTTCATTTGATCAGCCTGCCATCTCTCGATGGTGCTGCTGTTGCTTCCCAATCCGGCAGGCTCTCTTGGGGGATTCTTCCTTGGGATCGCCCTTGTGAAGGTAGGCAATCTGATGTTTTGGTTCACTTCTGCCGCTGGCCATATCCAGCCTTCATCGCATACCGACCTCAGCGGCTCCAACGCTCCAAACCGTCATAGAGCTCATGGTGGTTGAGCTGGTAGCTCGCATGATCATCCATGCTCGCATTACACCAGTACAGCCTGGCAGGACATGCAGCTCGCGCAGACATAGCCCCAATTGCTGGCTCATTTCTTTGATGTCCTCATCATCCCCAACGACATTCTCCACCATCAAAACTGACAAAACCTTCATCTCTCGGGCGACATCCTCAGTCCATCCAAGGACCTCCACATACTTGTAAAACAACTTAGACCGAGGATCTTGAAGGTGAATTCGATCATTGCTTGACAAGGGGACCCACCTCCAGCCACGACTCCGGCCTGTCAGGCCCGGTATACGCTCCTCATGTACTTTTCTCTATCCCCTTTTTTGTCACTCGGGTGATGTCTGCCACCACGTCGCACCCGGGCCACCTTGTTTTGTTCAGACGCTGGCAGTCCGGCGGGTCCTTCTCAATCACCACCGGGCGGTCCACTTTCTGCCCAGCCAGCTCGAGCGCCCGACTCAAACCTCAATCCTTGCAAAGAAGTCAAAAACCAACGCACTCTGCGGCTCGTCAACTTTGACCCGTACACCGATCCACCTCCTGCCTCACTCGCATCAGACGCAGTCAGGACCTCACGCAGCTTAGCTCGCAAATCTGTCACCCTCAAGGAGCCTCAAGGCCTGGCTACATCCTGCCATCAGGATCTCCTCAACAGACTTCAAGACTTGCAATCCCTTTTGCGGAGCCTTCTCTTGCCGCAGCAGCCAGAAACCCAAGACAAGCTGTCGAGGGCCCTCTTCGTCGAGCCTTTCAAGGCGCCACTGTCACCGTCCACCACCGAGCCTAGCTTCTCGGCCTTCCTTGCCCTCTGCGAGCTTTTCTCCCTTGAGAAAGGGATCCATAAGCTCGCCGCAGAGCCTCCTGCTCCTACGAGCATTTCCTTCAGGTCTTCTGCAACTCGGGCCTCCGTGATCTCAAACAAGCTCGTGTCATCCATGATGACCATAGCTTATCTTCCTCCTCCAAATTCGGGAACACACTGTCCCTTCGAATCTCACATCGTCCTAGGAGGCCTCCTCCGCCTTGCAATGGGGATCTCAGAGCACGGCTGCTCCTATATAGGTTTCACCTTCTCTATCAAAACCTAAACTCCTCCACTGCACTTTCTCCGCAAATGTCATCATCTCTGGCCATCCAGGGGGCAGTGCAAGCAAAGAAAGCCGACGCCAGATCATCGGCACTCATTCGGACCACTTTTCCGGCCGGCACTACCACACGCTGCAAAGCTGGCGCTCCAGTCAAGCTCCTGACATCACCTTCCAGAACTCTGGTAGCAGCATTCGTCCCCCTAAAGTCCATGATCAATCTCAAGATGGGACGTTCATCATCCAGAAACTTGCCGGGCTTCACTACTCCAAAGCTGCCATTAACCAGGAATCTCCCCCTCACCAACTGGCGCCTCTACCGTCTTCACCAATCACAGCTCAGCTGCAATCTTCTCCAATTTTGCCTTGTGGCATGGATCTGGGGCCGAGGGATCTCTTGGGGCATCTCTTCCTCAACAAGAATATTCCCCAAGGGGTTGAGGAGCTTCTCTCTCAGCTCACCTTCACACAGCTCCACCAAAGGCACCGATGCTCCATAACCTTCTGGTGGAGGCAGCCCAGGCAACACCTGATCCAGGGTCAACCTTTGCCCTTTCTCGTCGATCTCACCTTGATAAGAAATCCGGACGTCCCCAATTTTCTACCCCACTCCCCCATCTCCGGGGATTGAGGTATCTTGCTCTTGGACTCCGAACTATCGTCAACGAAAGCCTTCACCATTTCCCAGATTCGATCCAGGGCACGCCCTTGACTCACCGTCACTGCTCCTCGGTGGACTTTTGCCTGACTGCCACCACCAGTCCACAAGAAGTTGAGGAGCACCACAGAGCGAGTGCCAGATCAGTAAACCGGCACGTCTCGCGTGTCGGAAGGCCTTCTTTTCAGCGCCACCGAATTTTCTGAAGTCTCCGGTTCCAAAGAGGTTCCTGAGCTCCTCTTTGCCATCTGCCCACAGCGGCAGCGGAAGGATCTCCCTTTGCCTCCCGCTTTGGCCATCGTCAGGCCCCGGCGGCTCGATGGTCCGTTTGAGGTCCCACTTCTCAAGCACACCAGCGCCAGAAGACCTCCTGATTGCGATATGCTTATGGATCCGCATTCCTCCGCCTTCAGCCAACGCTGCATCAACTCTAAGCTCTCCTCAACTCCAGCTCCAAACTCTGCACTCTCCTCTGTTCACCTCCTCCGATTTCTGGCGTCCGATCTCTTTTGGCTCTTCGTCGAACTGCGCCTGACGTACCCTCTCTGGGCTCTGGGACTGCTTCTTTACTACACGCGGCACCGGCTGCCCGCCGCCTGCTTCCTATTTGGTAGCCCTGGTCTTGCTCATCAACTCTTTCAACTTCAGAC